ACACATAAACTGTATTCATAGAGAACACCATGATAAAATTCAACAATTTGTCTTACCTCCCCTCTTTGAGTTTTTGTGAAGGCGCCGTAAAAAAAAAAAAATTTTTCTTAAAATAAAAGGAACAGCATAACTTTTTTATGATTATCTGTTAGCACAAGTTTACAGACTTGTCGTCCAAACGAAAACCTGGTTAAACGTTTTAACACAGCGCGATTTATGTCCCCTGTTCTCAAAACTTCTCCAAATGCTTATATGTAGGCGGTTATTAATATTGCTGCGGATAGGTTGGCATAGTGACACAGGGCCTAGATTAACAAAAGATACAGAAACAAATGTATACATAAAGCAACATACAAATGTTCTGATTTTAGCTCAACCATAAACCTCTTTCCGGGTCAACACACTCGTCCAATCAAAATTTGAAAAGACGTTATTATTTCCCCTATTTAGTATCATTCTACAAAACAAAAATCAAACCGTTCTCTGCTTTCGACAGTGGTTGGGTAAAGAATATCTCCACTTCTTGGGTTAAACCTTCTTCTATGTCGTGCCCCGAGCCGAATGGAAGTTTTTAATGTAACTTTTAGGTGTCCTGGGCTGGGCTTTATGATAGGGTACCAAACTGCTCGATTTTTCTCATTCTTTGGGTGCTCCACGACAAATATTAAGTTAATGGGTGTACAGATTATTCTGCGCGCAGCTCGAGAGATGAAAATCGTGATTGACTGATAAGCACACACTTGACCCTCCGAGGCTCTCACAACTTATCAGACATTGACGGTGTGGTAGAACAATTAATTCGGATTCAATCGGCTAAAATGTTTCAATATAACACATAAACTAATCTCTGCAAGAATCTTCCTCTCTCTCTCAGAGGTTGAGGGTCTTTTTTCTACATCCTCTCACTGTATCCTCTTTCCTCCTACTTGCACTCCCTCCTCCCATCACCATCCGGTTGGTGGTGTTCTTGAGAGTTTGTTGTCGGCTTTGGAGCCTTCAGATTCCTCCCCCTCACTGTATGTTTGGAAAGACAGGAACTGACGGGTGGCTGGGTTGGGCAGGGATAGGGAGCCGCTCACCCCTCCTATCCTTCAGGTTTCAGAGAGGGAGAAGACCGCAGAGCGGAGGCGTGATATTCAGCAGCCGCCAACAGCGGGCATCTTCTTTCCACAACACACACACCACACACCACCACACACTCACGACACAAAACACCAACAACACCTCGCTCAACACACACACACTCACAGTGACCTGATATGCACCAAGCAAACCAACAGTTACCGAAGTCCAGCAGGCTCAGCACTGCGGAGCTTTGAACTTGACCCAGAGAAGACCAAACATCAACCCTCGCAGGTCCAGAGTGATAATCAGAACTACAGTATTCCAGACCATATACAAAACTCTAATACTTAATGTCCCGTAGCGGAGCGGGCGTTCAGAGAGGCTCAGCCCCTCCCCCTCTCACATGTGTTGTGTTGTTTGTGTCTGTGGCGCGACTAAAGTAAGGTCTTTTAAACGTATCCAACAGCTTTCTAAAAACTCGTATTTGGCTGCAGGGAGGAACCGAAGTTTTTAACTCCGTCTTGCCTAGTACGCCCTCTTTTCAGGCCCAGCTTCCTTCCCTCCACAGGTTAGGTTAATGACAGACAAGTCGCTGAGTGCGTTGTGTCCAACTCCTTCCTAACAGGCTTCTAGCCTTTAACTGACCGAAAGTCGACGTGAGTGTTGTCTGTGTCAACTCTTCCCTCACAGGTTCAGCGCTTAATGGACGAGACAGTCAGTGGAGTCGTGTGTCTGCTGGTTCCAACTCTGTTCCCTCACAGGTGCACAGTTTAAGTGAACGGCGTCGTTTACTCGAGTCCATGGTGAGCCAGATTGTGTCCCTGTAGATTTGAAAGAGAATCAGAGTCCTCACTGAATTGGTGGACAATAAAGGTTTGTGATTCCTTTAAACAGGCCGTTTTTTGAATGGAGTTTGGTGTGACAGTGTGGAGCTTATAAAAGAGTCAGAACGAACAGACAATCAAGTGAACTGAATGGCAAAAGAGAAGAGATTCTCAATAAGGCATAGACTGAGTATGTGAAGGACACTCATCACCCCTATTCCTTTATTCTTTTTAAACTATATAATGACCATAATACAATATTACTATACCTAGAAACACAATACAGCTGTTCTGCCTGACAAAGGCCAGAGGATTTTTGGATCCTAATAGTTCCCGTTAGTCCTCTTTTTATTTTTTTCTTTCTTTTCTTCTCCTTTTCTTACTTTTCTTTCTTATTATTACTGCCTATCCTAATTCATTATTCCTTTTTTCTTCTTATTTTTTTTTTTAAAACTGCTTTTTGTTTCTAACCTGTAGCACTTTGAGATCCTCTGATGAAAAGGGCATTATAAATAAAATGTATTATTATTTATATTATTATAGCTAAGAAGCAATATGATATTATTATTTTATGCTATTAAAGACCTCATAATTTGTATATATCACCAAATTAGAGGTTCTGCTTTTACCCAAAATCCTTTATTACAGTGGGGGTGGATAATGATAGGTGGCAGTAAAGCACCTTAACGTGGGTTGCCACCCTCCATAAAGTTTTAGCGCCGCCTCCAGACACACCTGAACTGACTTCCTGGTTGAGGGTGTAGAAAGTGAGGAAGAGGAGAGTTTAAAAAAGTGGTGAAATGTGGGAGTGAAGTTTTACACTGCAGTTAAAGGTAAAAAGAGGACTGTGGATCAGATCAGCAGAAGTTTGGAGCCTCTCGAGCTGGAACAGACGAAGGTGAACCTCATCGATCAGGTAGAAGGAATCCATCTTGGCTCTTTGTTGTCTTTTATCGAGGCTGGTTTCTCCTTCAGTGTGTCTCTAATCATCAGAGCTTCAGTGTCATTGATCAGATTCACTGTTTACTGCTGGATGGAAACCATCTGCAACACGGAGGCCGCTCCTCATTATCAGCTTCAGATTTAAATGGAGACTAAATCACCAACAACTCAAACCTGTTGTAGTTGAACAGGATGATCAGTGACGAGATATTCTGATTTATGGAGTAATGAAAGAGATAATTTGCTCTGTAAAAACCTTTGACTCTAATGTTGAACCTGACTTTATCCGATGTTCAGATTTCTGTTCTAGAAATGTTTGAAAATGAGTTTAATTTAAAGTTGATATTGCCTCATTTGCATATTTAAACAACATTTATATTTCATAAAACTTAAGAAAAACACGCTTCAGTCACCTTTCTCCTTTCCTGGACTTAGCTATGCTACATGCTATGCTAATCTATGTTATTTATTTTATATTTCAATTCATATTCATATTTTTCTGGATTCAGTTGATACTTGAACCCTTTTTTCAACCTGTTTGTTATTTTAATGTTTATTATTTATTCAGCTTGTTTCTCTGATAACTTTACTAAAATCCTTCATCCGGTTCAA